CTGGTTTTGTCTGGAATGTCATGTTTGACACATTAATAGGCTCGAATATGACCAGACAGCTTTAAGGAATTAAGATTGATTTTGGAAGCCAATAAAGGCCCCTTGAGAAAACAGCCTCATACCTTCCTTACATTGTTCATGATGTTTATTCCAGTTAAGAAGCAAAGGTTTCTCTTTTTTTTTGCCTCTTTTTAAAATTTTTTCAATCATGTTTATTCGATTACAGTTGTCTCAATCCTTCCCCCTTTAATCCCCTCCACCCATCCCACCCACACCTCCTGCTCCCACAGTCAATTCCCACTCTGTTGTCCATGCCCATGGGTCATTCGTACATGATCTTTGTCTAGTCCCTTCCCCTTCTTTCCACCATTGTCCTCTTTCCCTATCCCCTCTGGTCACTTTCAGTCTGCTCCATGTTTCCTTGCCTGTGGTTTATTTTGTTCATTAGTTTATTTTGTTGAATAGATTTCACTTATAGGAGAGATCATATGGTATTTGTCTTTCACCAACTGGCTTATTTCACTTAGCTTAATATTCTCCACTCCCATCCATGTTGTCACAGAAGGCAGGAGTTTCTTCTTTCTTTATTTTTAAAATGCAGACTGATTTTATTTATTTTTAAATGTCAAAATCCATTATTAAATATTTAAAAATTTAAATCTATTAGAAAGCCTCCACAATTAAAAAAAATGACACCAGAACAGACTGCAAGAGGTCAGAGAGGGACAACATCTGACATCATCAGAGGCAGCAGACACAGAAAGAAAAAACAGCAGTCTCCTACCATAGAAGTTCACACCACAAAGTCAGGAAATCAAGACAGATTAATTTAAGAAGCAGAAGCAGAAGAGTCTCACAAGTAATGGGAGGACAAAGAAACACCCCTCAGTTGAAAAGAAAGAAGGAATCCCCACAGGGAGAACTAAATAGAATAGAGGCAAGTAAACTATCAGATACTGAGTTCAAAGCAATGGTTCTAAGGAATTTCAGTGAGCTCAGTGATCTCAGAGAGAATTACCAAAAACTACAGGGAAACTACGAGAAACTTACTGCAAACTATACCAGGATGAAAAAGGACAGAGAAACTATCAATAAGAGACAAGAGGAAATGGAGAGTACAATTTCTGAATTGAAGAACACAGAAGGAATTAAAAGGAGGTTAGATGAAGCAGAGGATCAAATCAGCAAGCTGGAGGATAAGGTAGAATAAAAGTCCCAGAAAGAACAAGAAAATGAAAAAAGACTCAAAAAGAACAAAGAGGCATAATTCAGGGCAACCTGAAACCTCACAATATCCATACAATAGGATGCCAGAAGGAGAAGAAGAAGAGCAAGGGATACAGAACCTGTGTGAAAAAGTAATGATGGAACACTTCCCTAATTTGATGAGAGAAAAAGTCACACAAGTCCAGGAAGCACATAGGGTCCCATTCAGGAGGAACCCAATGAGGTCCACTGCAAGACACATCATCATTCAAATAGCAAATATCAAACACAAACAGAGAATCCTAAAGGAAGCAAGGGAGAAACAGGTACTAACATACAAGGGAGCCCTGATACATGTGTTGATTATTTGTTAAAACTAAACCTGTTTTTGTATCTATCTTGCCCATTTCTATTATACTTAAATGATTTTTTGGTATTCTTTATCCATTTTTTTATTAAATGTTGTAGAACTTTTTCCCTAAAAAACAAAATAACTATTAACCCTTTTTTAGATGTGTTGCAAATACTTTCATATTCTATTACTTGTCCTTTAACTTTTTTATATGTCTATTACTATATACTCTTAAATGTTTAATATAGTCATATTGTTAATATTTTACTTTATAGCCTCTGGGTTTGAATAAGTCACTTTAGGGTAAGAAAAATATTAGTTTGTATTTTCTCCTACAACTCCTTAGATTTTTACATGTTGATTTTTAACTCACCTGCGTAGTTCTTGTATAATGTGTGAAATAAGGCTCTATATTTGTTTTATTTCAAATCATAGTGGCTGTTGCACCTTATTTGTTGAATAAGCCTTATTTTCCCCATTGATATGAAATATCAATTTAATCATATGTTACATTGTTAGACAGATATATACATTTGCTTCTGGAATGCTCATTTCATTTCATTGATCTACTTGATTATTTCTGTTCTGGTGTCATTTTTTTAATTGTGGAGGCTTTCTAATAGATTTAAATTTTTAAATATTTAATAATGGATTTTGACATTTAAAAATAAATAAAATCAGTCTGCATTTTAAAAATAAAGAAAGAAGAAACTCCTGCCTTCTGTGACAACATGGATGGGAGTGGAGAATATTAAGCTAAGTGAAATAAGCCAGTTGGTGAAAGACAAATACCATATGATCTCTCCTATAAGTGAAATCTATTCAACAAAATAAACTAATGAACAAAATAAACCACAGGCAAGGAAACATGGAGCAGACTGAAAGTGACCAGAGGGGATAGGGAAAGAGGACAATGGTGGAAAGAAGGGGAAGGGACTAGACAAAGATCATGTACGAATGACCCATGGGCATGGACAACAGAGTGGGAATTGACTGTGGGAGCAGGAGGTGTGGGTGGGATGGGTGGAGGGGATTAAAGGGGGGAAGGATTGAGACAACTGTAATCGAATAAACATGATTGAAAAAATTTTAAAAAGAGGCAAAAAAAAAGAGAAACCTTTGCTTCTTAACTGGAATAAACATCATGAACAATGTAAGGAAGGTATGAGGCTGTTTTCTCAAGGGGCCTTTATTGGCTTCCAAAATCAATCTTAATTCCTTAAAGCTGTCTGGTCATATTCGAGCCTATTAATGTGTCAAACATGACATTCCAGACAAAACCAGAAATTACGCTTTTGGGAATTTATCCAAAGACACCTGAAACACTAGTTTGAAAATATATGTGCACCCTTTGTTCATTGCAGCATTATTTACAATAGCCAAGATTTGGAAGCAGCCCAAATGTCCAGCAGTAGATGTGTGGATAAAACAGCTGTTACATTTACACTATGGAATACTACTTGGTCCTAAAAAGAAGAAGAAAATTTTACCTTTTGATGCATGGATGGACCTGGAGAACATTATTCTAAGTAAAATAAGCCAGTCAGAGAAAGACAAATACCATACGATTTCAATGACATGTGTAATCTAATGAACACACTGAACTAACAAGCAATACAGAGACAGACTCAGAGAGAGCAGGCTGACAGCTCTCTATGATTGAGGGGTAGAGGGATTGAGCAAAAAAGGAAAAAGAACTTATGGACATGGACAACAGTGTGGTGATTGTCAAGGGAGGTGGGTGCATGGAGGTAGAAGAGGGTATGGGGGGATAAATGATAATGAAGAAATACAATAAAAATAAAGTAAAATAAGAGTAAACCTTAAAATAAATAAAATTAATGAAACTAAATGTTGGGTCTTCAAAAAAATCAATAAAATTGACAAACATTTACCTAGATGGACTAAGAATAAAAGAAGACTTTAATTACTAAAATCATAAAGTGTAGATGTTACAACTGACCCTACAAAATAAAAGAAATTATAAAAGAGTATTGTAAGTAATTGTACATTAATATACTGGGTAAGCTAGATGAAATTGACAAATTTCTGGAAACATAAAATATACCAAGACTAAATCACAATGAAATAGAAAACCTAAATAGACTTATAACTAGTATGGGAATTGAATCAGTAATAACAATAAAAATCTCCTGACAAATAAAAACCTTGGACCTGATGGCTTCACTGTTGAATTTTATCAAACATTTAAAGAAAACTAATATTAGTCCTTTTCAAACTTTTTAAAAAATTAAAGAAAAGAGAATACTTCCTAACTCATTCTATGAGGCCAGCATAACCCTAATTTTAAAAGCCAAACAAAGACACTATAAGAAAAAAAAAAAACAAAAACCACAGACCAGATTCCCTTATGAATACTGATTTAAAAATTCTCCACAAAATAATAGAAAATCAAATTCAGCAGCATATTAAAAAGATTATATGCCACAACTGAAGCCTTATGGTCAAGATGGCATAGTAAGTAAACACTGTACTTGCCTCTTTCCACAACAACATCAAAATTACAACTAAACTAACAACAACTGTCACTGAGAACTACAGAAGTCCCATAAGTATATACATAAGCCACACCAAGAGAGGAAGAGACACAGAAAGGGTGGTCCCTCACCCACATGCAGAAGTTAAAAATCAGGAAGGATATCTTAGCTGTGGAGATTCCTAATGAGAAGCAAGTGTCCCATCCCTACACCAGGCTCCCCAGTTCAGGGTTCCAGTGCTTGGAGAAGAAGCTGCCATAACTTCTTGCTGTGAAAACCAGTGGAGATTGTGGCTGGGAATAGAGAGCTGATGGAGTCTAGATGTTCTTAAAGGGCTCACAAATGGATTTACTGGCTCATAGACTCACTTGCTCTGAGCTCCAGTGCTGGAGAAGGCTCCAAGAACATATAAAGAGGGAATAAATTGTCTGGCTTCAGGGCAAGGGCTGAAGAGGGATCTTTCTCCCAGACAGAAGTGCTGGCAGAAGTCATTTTGCCTTTGCCGAGCCCTCCCCCTGCAGCTGTTCACCTCACCCTGGTGATTCCCTAAGGTCCAACCCCTTCCAAATTTCTAAAAGAAGTTTTCCCAAACTTCTTTCAGTGGTTTTTCCAGACAAGCAGCTTATTTGGGCTCATGATGCAGATCTTCCTAAAGTCTCTTAAATGTTCACAAATGCAAAAAAAAAAAAAAAATCAAAACCCAGCAATTTGCCTCAGTACACCCCATACCTCTTGCTAAGGAGCCCCAAGCCTGGCATTAGCTGCAACCAGCTTCAGCTCACAGCTTAGCCTTTCCCAGGTACCTTCAAGACCAGCAAAAGCGGCAACCATTTACAGATCTAAGATGACCTTGGCATGCACATCCCAAGAGGCCCCAGCACCAACCAGTGGCCAGCTTCAGATCAAACAAGAGCACCACCCAAACACCCCCACAACTGACATACTCAAAGGGAAGACTCAGCAGGCACCAGAGCCCCACTAAAGTAAATCTTGCTCTGTAGGGTCAGCCCTTACACAACAGCTCCTCTACTATAGTCACAGCCAATCATCCTAAAGGTCAGTTCCTCCCACTGAAGTGCCAACAGCAACCCAGTCTAAAGTACAACAGGAGGACACACACAACTCACACAAGAAACACAACTGGAACACCTGGCTCAGGGGAGCAGGAAACTGCACCACAGGCCCCGCCAGAAACCCTATAAATAAGGCCACTCTATCAAGCCTGGGAGATGCAGCAGCTCTATTTAATACACAGAAACAAACACAGGGAGGCTGCCAAAATGAGGAGACAAAGAAACATGTCCCAAATGAAAGAACAGAACAAAACTCCAGAAAAAGAGCTAAACAAAACAGAGACACTCAACCTACCAAATGTAGAGTTCAAAACACTGGTTATAAAAATGCTCAGTGATCTCAGTGAGAACTTCTACAAAAACATAGGAAACATAAAAATGGAGACTTAAGACATTAAAATGAACCAGTGAGAAATGAAGAATATAATAACTGAAATAAAGAATATATTAGAGGGAATTAATAGCACATTCAATGAAACAGAGGATCAAATCAGCAATCTGAAAGATAAGGCAGCAGAGAAAGACCAGTCAGAACAGCAGAAAGAGGGGGAAAGATGGCAGAGGACTGCATGGGAGTCACGCTGACCTCCTCGTCCCAAGACCAAACTGGAATTGCGGCTAAATAGTGGAGTAATCGCCTGGAAAACAATGGAACTATAGTGGGAGAGGAGCCTTGGAACCGCAGACAGACAGTAGATTCAACTCTCACACATCCCAATGGGTGAGAAGTGTGGTGGAGGCCCCAGAGGGTGGGCTGGGCACCCACGGGCACTAGCACCAGAGGGACATTGAAACGGCCAGTTAGCTCCCCCCCAAAAGAACAGGGTCTGAATCATAAACAGGGACCTCTAAACTACAGCAGCTAAAACCAGGAAAATACAGAAAAAACACAACCCCAAAAAGCTTAGGGGTGCTCTCGGCCAGAGACAGGTGGCTGGGGATGCAAAGAGACATTTAAAGGGCCAATGCAAAAATTTGCAGTGGCAGCTGCCCTCCTTGATCTCTGGGTAGAGGCAGCAGCAGAGTAGGCTGCTGCCTGGGAAAAGATTGGTGAGAAAGACTTTGTGAAGAGAACTAAGACAGCGGCTGGTGGAGCCCCGGTGATAACGCACCTCCCACTCTGCAGCTACTGTCTCGCTCAGGCATAAGGAAATCAATTAACCTGCCTTTTGTGTGCTCAGCACACAGCTTGTGCGTGTGTGAGCTGGGGGGCTAAGTGCAGACTGGCTGGAAGAAATAGAGGATCCCTGGCTAAAAGGGTCACACAGCGGCATTGAGAACCTTGAGGAGAGACTGGAGACAGAGGCATTGGGGAAAGAACGGGAAGAGGAACTGGGAGTCCCAACTCCCTCCCCATTCTGTAGTCTCATTTCTGGGCAGGCAGGGCGCACCCCGGAAGAGGGAGAAGAAGGGCGTGCACGAACCAGACTGCCCGTGATTGCAACGCCGTCCCCACAGGTGGTGGTTCCTTGGCAGAAGGGGTCCCAGAACTGCACAGAGACCCCTGGGGAGGGACTGGAGACAGGTGTTGGGGAAAGAACGGGAGGAGGAACCGGGGAGTCCCGACTCCTTCTCCTTTCCCTAGTCTCCATTGCGTGGGAAGAGGCCACACCTCCAAAGAGCCAAAAGCTGAAAAGCACACAATAGAGAACCCAAAACCACCCAGTGCAGGCGCACACACTTGCACAGAGTGGCCGGCGAGGTTTGGTGAGAGTGTGTGTGGACCCACGCGGGCTGGCCAGGGCTCGAACGGGCTGGCAAAGCCTCCCACAGGTTGGCACTGATGGGGCCTGCGAGGGAGTGCGCAGACCGGAGAGGGCAGGTAGAAATCAACTCCCCTAGGCCTGCGAGTGCAGAGCGGTCCGCAGAAATAGTGGATCCTGGGCCGAAGGGGTCACAGAACTGCCCAGAGTCCCTGGAGGAGAGACTGGAAACAGGATTAACTGGAGAGTCCTGGAGCTGACTTCCTTCCATTTCCGTAGTCTCCATTTGGCGAGGGCAGGCAACGAATCCAAAGAGCCAAAAGCGGGGAAAGCACACAATAGAAAACCCTAAACTGACCAGTGCTGGCATGCCTGCTGGCCTGCGGGGGGCGGGGGGGGGCGGGCCAGATGGTATGCAAGGTAGCGAATAAGCTCCCTAGGCTGGGGCAAGCACGTGGGAGCCCAGTCGGGGGAGGGATACGCCGGGGAGTGCACCCAAGGCGCAGGCGTGAGAGTGCAGAAATAGTGGATCCTTGGCCGGAGGTGTCACAGAGCTGCCCAAAGCAGGAGTCAGACACAGACAATAGACTCCTGGAAGGCTCAAACAAATGACCCAAGATCATATAGGGTCAAAACTGACATCATCAGAGGGAGGCTCAGAAAGAAAAGTAAAGGAAAAAATAAATAAATAAATGAAAAAAGACCCGCCTACTACCATAGAAGTTTAATTCACAAAGTCAGGAAATCTAGATGGCCCAATTAAAGCGAAAGCAAAAAAAAAGTAAATAAATAAGTAAATTACTTAACAGACTCTCACAAAAATGGGAAGAAAAAGAAGTTCCCCCCAAATGAGTGGAAAAGGGGAATCCCCACAGAGAGAGCTAAATGAAATAGAGGCAAGGGAACTATCAGATATTGAATTCAAAACAATGGCTCTAAGGAAGCTCAATGAGCTCAGCCAGCTCAAAGATAACGAGCAGAAACTGCAGAGAAGCTATCAGGATCTTACAGCAAACTATATCAACCTGGAAAAGGACATAGAAACTATCAAGAAGACACAAGAGGATATGAAGAATACCATTTCTGAATTGAAGAACACAGGAGAAGGAATCCAAAGCAGGCTGGATGAAGCTGAGGATCGAATCAGTGAGATGGAGGATAAGGTAGAAAAAAGCTCCCAGAAAGAACAAGGAATGGAAAAAAGACTCAAAAAGAATGAAGAGGCATTGAGGGAAATGCAGGACAACCTGAAACGGCATAATAGGGATCCCAGAAGGAGAAGAGGAGCAAGGGATAGAGAACCTCCTCGAAAAAGTAATGATGGAAAATTTCCCTTATTTGAGGAGAGAAATGGTCTCATGGATCCAGGAGGCACAGAGGGCCCCACTCGAGGGACTCAAGGCGGTCCACTCCAAACACATCATCATTAAGATGGCAACTATCAAAGACAAAGAGAGAATCCACAAGGCAGCAAGGGAGAAGGAGAAGGTGGCATACAAGGGGGCCCCGATACGCCTAGGAGCTGACTTCTCAACAGAAACACGACAAGCCAGAAGGGAATGCCAACAAATATTCCAAGTCATGAAAAGCAAGGGCCTACAGCCAAGGCTGCTCTCAAACCCAGCTAGGCTCTCAATTAAAATAGAAGGGGAAATAAGGAGTTTCCCAGACAAAAGAACGCTAAAAGGATACATCTCTACCAAACCAGCACTCCAAGATATGCTAAAGGGACTGGTTTAAGAAGATGAAGGAAAAGACTGAGAAGGAGAAAAACACAGGTACAAAGAGAAAACATGAATAGGTTTCTATCAGTAATAACTCTCAATGTAAATGGACTAACTGCCCCAATCAAAAGACACAGGATAGCTGAATGGATAAGAAAACATGACCCACACATATGCTGCCTACAAGAGACCCACCTCAGAGCCAAAGACCTACACAGATTGAAAGTAAAGGGATGGAAAAAAATATTCCAAGCAAATGGGCAAGAGAAAAAGGCTGGGGTTGCTATACTTGTATCAGACAAAATGGATTTCAAAACAAAGGCCATAAAGAGAGACCCAGAGGGGTACTTTATCACACTTAAAGGAAGGATCCATCAAGAAGACATAAACATTGTAACTTATATGCACCCATCATAGGGGCCCCCAAGTATAGAAGGAAATTGTTGGATGACTTCAAAAAAGGTATAGACAGCAACACACTGATAGTAGGGGATTTCAACACCCCACTGTCAAAAATGGACAGATCTTCCAAACAAAACATCAATGAGGATATTGTGGAAGTGAATGATGCACTGAATCTAATAGACTTAACTGACATATATAGAACCTTACATCCCAAAGAAGAAAAATACATTCTTTTCAAATGCTCATGGAAGCTTTTCAAAGATAGACCACATGATAGGACACAAAGCAAGCCACAGCAAATTCAGGAAAATTGAAATAATACCAAACTTTTTCTTGGACCACAAGGGCTTGAAACTGGAAATCAACCTCAAAGAGAAACTTCAAACACTTCCAAACTCATGGAGACTGAACAGTCGACTATTAAACAATGAACGGGTCAATAATGAGACAAGAGAAGAAATCAAAACATTTCTGGAAACAAATGAAAATGAACAGACAACAGTCCAAAACCAATGGGACACAGCAAAGGCAGTTCTGAGAGGGAAGTTCATAGCAATACAGGCTTACCTAAAAAAGATAGAAACATTTCAAATAAAAGACCTAACACTACAACTTCAAGAATCGGAGAAACTACAACAAATACATCCCAGAGCAAGCAGAAGGCAGGAAATAATCAAGATTAGAGCAGAACTGAATGACATAGAGACAAAAAGAACAATTCAAAGGATCAACCAATCCAGAAGCTGGTTTTTTGAAAAGATAAATAAAATTGACAAGCCTTTAAGCAGAATCATCAAGACAAAAAGGGAGAGGACCCAAATTAATAATATCAGAAACGAAAGAGGAGAAATAACAACTGATGCCACAGAAATACAAAGGATTGTCAGAAACTACTATGAACGATTATATGCCAAGAAATTGGAAAACCTCGATGAAATGGACAAATTTCTAGAAAAGTATAACCTTCCAACACTGAAGGAGGAAGAAACAGAAAGCTTGAACAGCCCGATAACAGCGGGGGAAATTGAAGCAGTCATCAAGAAACTCCCGGCACACAAAAGCCCAGGGCCGGATGGTTT